GACTGGGTGCTGATGGGTAACGTCGTAGACGCAGTTCGACACGGAGTAAAAAGCAATATCGTTACCGAACGAGACCTCCGCGATGCATTTGCTTTTGTATCGGCCTCGCTCACTGCAACGACCGTTTGACGGAAGACGCGGCTCATTGTCCACCAAACGTTTGAATGCCGCCGCATTGATGTTACGTCGGGTCTCCCTAGACCCCGGCAACGGTTTCTCCATGCAAATATCAACTCGCCGCTCTGTCGGGTGCCAGACACATCGCACAGGAAGCTGAAACTCCGCACGGCACGACGACAAATGCGCCGCGGAAAGCTCCACTAACGCCGACTTGCACAGGCGTAGCGAGAACGAAACGCCCGCCACGGAATTGACAGGACGTGTGAGTGACAAAACTTCCTCTTGGGTTGCAACCTCCTCGTCCCCATCGTTCCGCTGCTGCTCAGGAGGGGCAAGAGGGTACAGTCGTGCCTCGCGCGTGTCAAGTTGCTGCACCGCCAACGGCAGCGTCGGTGGAATGAAGACGCCCGGAAGGCACCGCGCTTCCCCACGTGACTCCCTCTGCGTAACGGTCGCAGCGACGCACTGAGCAGCCAACTGACGTGCGCGAGATGTCAACTTGGCGACCGGCTTCACCACCGTTTCTGTTCGTTTGGCGTTTTCTGCCGCTCTTGCTGCTGCTTCTGCCCTCTTAAGGTCAAATACAATCTCACTGAAGGCATCACCACCGTCGCCGCCATTACTGTCTTTTTTACTCGCCTCCTCGTCAGAGAAGCATCGCAGCAGTCTCGACTCGAGTCGATAAAGCCACCATCGCTTCGCAAATCGCTCCACATGTTCGTCCATGTAATTATGGTTCCAACAGGACCGGTGCAACGCGGACACTTCCACCGCCTTGCCAGACCGCTTGTTGTAGCCAGCCTCGATCTTACAGGCCTCACATGACAGCGTCTCCTCCATGAATTTATGAAGGTAAGAGCTCTGCTCACGTTGAACAAGGTCAATTACGGTGCCCATGTCGGGATATTCCTCTGTATTTTTCGGTACAACGCCCGTTTGCATGTACGTAAGCATATGTGAGCGATATTGGCGATGCTGACCTCGTGTGAGGCACGAAACACATGCCGAGAGACGCTTCGAAGAGTTGGATTTGAGCAGAGCACAGGCGGCATTGTAATCCACCCGACGACGCGTGTCGTCTTCCCGGGCATCATCCTCGCAAAATATCTCCTCGAGATACGCCTCGTTGATAATATTGAGCTGCTCCCGTATAGAAGCACACTTGGGGTGCTGCCGCAGTGCCGTAAAAAGCGACACCGCCTCCTCCTTTGGAAGCTCCAACGTGGGCGAAGCATTGAGCAGCAGCGCCTTGCCGTCCACGCTGCCTTTACCACGTGCACCCGGAACGAGAATATCCGTCTCGCACGGGAACCCGCTGGCTGGCGGTCGTGCAGGCAGCTGAAATTGTGGGGGAACAAACGACATGTGCCCTTCCATCCGCCGGTGCTTTAGTTCGGGAGATGACATGATTCCCTTAATCTTCAATAAAAAAAGGCCAGATACAAAAAAAGTAAAGCAAGGTAGCGTCAATTTAAGCAAACAATCAGCCAGAAACTCCGTAGGAGTGAGCGGGCAAAAGCAAAAACTACCGCAACAACAGTTGGGCGATGGAAAATTACGCATCTGTCAACACGACACAGAAAAAAACGGAGGAGAACAAAGCACGAAGAGCGAAAAGAAAAAGAGCAGAGCACGTCGAAAAATACAAGCAAGAGCAAGAAAAGTGATCTGCGCCTTGGTTTTCCCCTCAATAAAGTTGAGGGGAGGGGAAAAGAAAACCACAATTTGTTTTTGTCGAGCTGCTCTCATGGCCATGCGTTCATATAAACACGTACACAACCCTTATATTCAATACGCAATGGAGCGTCCACACCGAATTTTCATTAGCTGCCACCACCAAGTGCAAATCAAGGGAGCGGAGGTGCTGAAGGCGCAATTCGCCCGCCTCCCGTGCAGCGGCGGGGAAAGGTTGTGTGGGCCTCCACAACATGACCATTGCAACAAAAAATATACGCAACGATGAAATTGAGAGAAGGGTGCTGCCATGCTTATTTTACAGGGCACACGCAAGGCCGTAACATCATTCCTCCCGCAGACTCGCAACAACAAAAGAAAAAACAAAAAATTTCATCGCACGTCATGTTCCCAAATAACCACTCTTTTCTTTTTGATGATCGCGTGCTTTCTCCTCAGCATCACACCATTTCATGTCACAAACTTCACCCTCATGATTTTTTTCGGCGCCGCCACACTCTGCCCTGTTTTTGGCTTTTTCGGAATAATCCTTTGCGCTTCTATCACTTTCTCAGCCCAAACACAAAAATTGTTTGCCCCTTCCAGATTCCTGGCTTCTTTTGAAAGGCAGTTGATGCCACTGTTGGGCCCATACTCACCAGTGCACATGTAGTAGCCACCGTGTACCATTTTATCCGCCTCCACGCATATACTTAGTACCGCCTGCGCTCCTTCTTTCCACGTCTTTCCAATGAGTAATGAGGGATAGTAAAGAACATGATCAAGCACTGGCAGTGGAAATAGGTCCCGGTACAGGTGTGTCGTGATGACGCCTGGGTGGCAACATGCCACAAACACCTTAAGTTGACGACCATCGCCGTTGCAAAAGAAGCGAAGAGAGACGCGGCGTGCAAGGACAGAGGTCCACCAAATAACACACAACTTCGAGAGCCCATAGTATCCGACAAAGTTGCCCAGAGTGAATTCTTCCATGGTGGGAGTTTCCACCTTCGCCTCCTTGTCATCCCCTTCCTTGGGCGATGGGTGCAGTGCGGCGAGCATTTCGCCAGGGCTACATCGCTGCCGCACACCGAGAAAAGTATGACAGGAGGATGCAACGTTGACAATACGCGAAGACACACCACTGCGCTCTGCCGTCTCCTCCAACAGCGGCAACAACAAATTTGTAAGCAGCATGGGGCCCACAACGTTTGTAGCAATCATTTCCTCCAGCCCCGTATCCTCGCAGCGGTGTAAGTGGCGACGCAGCACACCCGCGGCGTTCACCAGCAACGACACGGGAAATTTCTCTTTTTGCTCGAGAACGGTGGCGGCGAAGCCTCGCACGCTGTCAAGATCGGATAAGTCAACCTCCGCGAGCACAACGAGACGCCCAGAAGGCTTTTTCGCCATGAGAGAACGCTTTGCTTCAAGCAGGCGCAACAAGTTCCTCCCACCCATGATGACAGTCCACCCGTGCTGCGCGAGTTCCTGCGAAACGCCGTAGCCAACGCCAGAGGACGCCCCTGTGACAAGTGCCACACGAGACGTGAAGTCCACATCGCTCGGCCACTTGCACTGACGCCCAGATGCCACGCCGCGACAGGCAAATATGCAGCTCACAACCGCCAGCAGTGTGTCCGCTGTTGTCATGGAGCACCACCACGACCATTGAAAGAATTGAGCTGCAGTGGCGATGGCAATAAACAAAAGACATATCAACGCCGCAAGCGCCTCTGAGGAAAAAAGATGAATCATCTGCTGCAGCAAATAACGCCAACAGCACAAAGGAAAAAAAGATACCAAACGAACAACCAAAAGAATAGAATTGTTTATTCACACGCACACACACTCATACGCGTACAAATATACACTCCCTTCTTAACCCACATCCTTCAATGTGCCAAAGCAAAAAAAAAAAAAAAAAAAGGAGGACGGGAAAAGGATCTCCAATAAAATACTGAAGCACACAAACACGCAGAAACATACGCACATTTAATAGCAACCACAGAGCGCAAAGTAAAACCAAAAGAAAACGGTGGAAACAAAAAAGTAAAAAAAAACATGGAATAAGGCGCACCACTCCCCCTTTAGAATTGTTGCACAACAAGATACTAGTGCCCCCAATCGTCATTCGTGCAGGCCAGACGTGTGAAGCCGTAGTGCAGATTCGCGTCTCATTTGCGCGTATTCGCCCTCGTCCCACACTTCCTCACCCTCCGCATATGTTAACGGCACAGTGGTGTCAAGAAGTCGTCCAATGTAATCCTCCGGCAAGAAACCCGCCGCATACCGCTCCGCCGCTATCCGGCGGAACCCCAATTCGTCCCCTTCTTCTTCCTCCTTTTCCACTTCCGCCTGCGTTTCTTCGTCATCCATCTGAAAATCGCCTGCCTCACAGGGTAGCGGCAAATTTTCCGTGGATTCCAAAAGGTCACCGAGTGCTTCGGCAGTGAGGACATCACTCACAGCAGCCGCATTCATCTCTCGCTTTCCCCCCTCCTCTGTTTCGTCATCCTTACTGGCCTGACGCCGCCGTGGCTCTCCTTCTTCTGCATGCGGTGGCGCAACAGCGGAGGCCATCAACAAAATCTCACCGTAGTGTACAAAGGGATCGCCCTCAGCCCCCGTTACCGGCAGGTCAATCAGCGGATCTCCCTCCAGCACGATGCGAATAGGGTTAATGGCATGAATATAACGTTCAAGGGTAAGCTGAACTGCCTTTGGTGCGCCGAAGGTCACGC